ATACAATTCACTGCAGAGGCTTAAGGAATGATCTGACTAAAAGGCTGACTAGTAGGAGCTTTCAACATTGCAAGTGACTTTCATATATACACTCATATAAATAAATACATACACACACTTTTAAATTCTGATAGAGAGGAATAGTTGAATAAATGGACCAAACAAATAATGGGCAACAGATCAACAAACAACTGGATGAAATTCCATTGTTAAGTCAGAAGACTGAGGAGACAGGGCAAAGCTACACCCTCCAGGTTATCAATATTCAAAGGCAGAATAACCAGGACAGACCCCAAAAATGGAAGCATGCCAACCCCCCACCCCCATTGTGACTACTGTAAACTGGGCCATGAGCCACACAAACCCAGAAGCATCTGCCAAAGGTCTCAGGCAGCTGTGCAAGCACTCTCTGACATTTGTTCAGCTGTTGTGAAGTGAGGAGATGCATATGCCCAAGGTTCCAACAAGCAAATTTCTTCTTCAGCTCAGAACAATATGATTAGAATACATTTTTTTAATTTATTCCGATTTTATCACCGTGAATATATATTTATCTGGATGAATGCGTCTACTGCTTATTTCCACAACTAATAGAAGTGAACAGAATTCATCATATCACAATAAGAAATGGTAATACAGAGCAAATGAAAATATATTACTCTTTCCACTTAAGAGCAGAGTTCCTGTTTAAAGAGGCAGGTGCCCTTCTCCTGGCAATTCAAAATGTCTTTTTTTAATACCATCTGTCAAAATTCCATCATCTTTCTCCCTTCCTTTCTTGCATATGAGCATCACAATTTCAAGGAAAATGATTTAATGGTGAAATCTCAGATTGTTGCATAGACAGCTCACCTTATTTCTATCAACACAGTTATTATGTTGTAGAAATGAATTCATTGGACTTGTTAAAAATGTGACCTGATTGTTTCTTCCAAAGGAAAGTAAATAAAAAGAAGGAAAAAGAAAAAAATATAAAGACTTTACTGACTGGTCTTTGTTAGCGTTTGCATTTATTATAAAAACTCAGTGTGAGAGTTAATTATATTAGTTATCTTGTATATAAAAAGCTATTAATTTTGTGCTTCAAAGTTATTAGCCACCTTTCTACATACCATTTACAGGCAAATGAATGGACCTAATCCCTATATTAAAACACAAAACAAACCAAATAAGCCCATGTTTCATGACTTTTCAAAATTGATTATCTCCTTGGCAATGCTTTCCTAGAGGCCAGATACACAACTGCCACTTTAAAAAAGAATCTCTGGCAGTTTATATGAGAAGCTTGTTAAAGTGGACTTAATCATACTTTAATAGTCATTTCTTTCCATACCAGATATAAAAGATCTCTTAGAAAAAGCATATTTTCCCAGTGATTCAACCATACTGGGTGAGTTAAACTTCCACCAGTGATAACACAACTCCTGAGAGAATCTGCTTTTGCTTAATGTGACATATAGTGAGCATTTGAAATCTAAACAATTCAGTGGAGGGAATAAAATATTTAAGGTGATAACATTTACTGTCTAAAGAAGTTTGTAGATTCACCTTTTTGGACATCCTTAATTCTGTAGAGTAAAATGCAACACTATTTAATTCTAAAACAGCAGTTTTATACAGATAATGATCTTTATCTCCTGATTATCAAAGGATATTTTACTTGTAAAAAGCATTACATGTGTAAAATAATTTGCAATAAATGAAAGTTACTGCAATCAGTCATGATGTTTATCTGCATTTAAGAGTCTCTGTGCTCTAAGAAAAGTAAACAGCAGCTTAGTGTATCAAGATTCCCAGCAGACATTTACAATGATTTTTTAAAAAAATTATTAAGGTCTAATCATAGAGCAAAGGTCTCTGAATGCCCATATAATTAGGAAACTATTGTCATAAAGTAAAGAAACAATAGCAAAATCTCCACACAGGAAGCAATTCAATAAGACAGTACCTACTTTAGTTTTATTTAGATAGTATTCATATTACAAAAGTATTATATAAAATAAAAACTTTAAGTTATAGTGATAAACTATGCTTTCATGAAACTCATGCTTTAGTTCCACTGCTATAATATATACTCCATTTTATAATTTTTTTCCTTTTAAATCAGTTTTCTGATTTCAAATATAGTAAATAATGATGTTAGCATATAAATATTAGTAATTGGATAAGATTGCACAAATATCAATCAACAGCTATCAGAGAGTGAAGAGTTAAGTGGAATCTAAATTTTTGGAAATTATTCTTAGAGTATAACTAAATGGTATTATTATCATACTTGAGCTTTAAATAAATTAAAAAGGCAGCTATCTGAAGAAGTGTCTGAGCATAAAAAGCTACATGATGCAAATGGTAGCCCATTAAAAATCCTTCCCCTGTCTTATTTCCAATGACACAATATATGAAAAAGTCTACTATATATTTTAAAGAAAAAATTGTGAAAAATTATTTTTTACTTGAAAATACATAGTTGAATGAGAAAAGATAATGTCTTCATAAAAATTGCACATGTATGCTAAGGGGCCATAAATGTGAATAAAGAGATATTATCTATTCTACAATGGGAAAGCTCAATTTTACATTACTTTTCTTAATATAATCTATAGGTTTAATATAATCTCAGTGAAATCTGTGAGAGATTTTCTTGGAAACAAGGAGAAGACAGTGTTTCATGAGTTTGAAAGGATGAAAGTATAAGAATAGCCAATAGTTTTATAAAAATTAAATTCTTATTTAGGAGTTTCAATCATAATAATTATTTTATAGCAACAGTTATATAATTAATGTTATTTATAGTAAGATAAATACAAAGACTCTCTCTGGTGGCACTTGTAATAGTTAAAAACTGTAAATGAGCTATCAATATGGGAACAATTAAGCAAATAATATCTCATTCATCCAATGATACACTCCCTTGTCATTAAGAAAGATGATACATTTTTTGGATTCATTTTCCAATGAGTATAGATTACATATTGCCAAATGAAAAAAGAAAGTTACAAAATTGCATACCAGACATAACTGAATTATTTCAGCTTTTATACTTTTTTTTTAGCTTTTATAGTTTTTGATTTTGGAATATTTCATGATAACAATACATTGTTTTTAAAATCATAAGACATTTGAACATTTTGTGTGGAAATTTATGGGCAGATAATAAGTAAAACTGAAATAAAGTGGATAGAGAAAGCTTATAGGAGAAGAATCCCATAGTAGAAGACACGAAGGTTTCTGTAATGTTATGGACTCTGCTGTGTGTACGTCTGCTGTGAATGTGCATGGATGCCTGGAATATACTACACTGTGTGGAGGAATCACATGAGCTTTCATTTTCTTGTTTCCACTCTCCTTTTCTTATCATTTTATTGTTGGTATAAAGGTGAATACAACAGTGATGGTGTCTCCATTCACATCACTATATCCTACCCTCAGTCCTTGCACTTATGAACATTAATACTGTACTTGCATAACTAAAATGAATGATAATCCAATAAGGACATCTCTTGACTTGGTTCCCATTAAAACTGTCCCAGTGATTTTATATGAGAGTATTACTAAAGAAAGGAAAAGTACAATAATGCAGTTAATTGCTACAATGTATATAGTTTGAATTCTTTTAACAAAACCTTAATTTGCCTACCTCTGATTCCATGCTTTAAATAATAGATTTATATGACTATTATTTGGAAGTTCTACCAAATAAAAACATACGGCACAAAAAATATTTGACAAAATAATATCTTATATTTATGGGGTATTTACTATATGCCAGGCACAGTTCTAAAAGCACTTTAGGTATATTAAGTCAATTATTCCTCGGAGGGAATTAAGCCTATGAAGTGGGTGCTGTTATAATGCCTCATTTCACCCGTGGGAAAATTAAGGCTCAGAGAACTACGAATCTCTTGCCCTAGGTGACAGAATGGGAAATAAACTCAGATCATCTGGCTCTGATGATATTTTGTTACTTTTTGTAGATATATAAATTTAAATATAATATAGAGAATTCCTGTGTACCCCTCCCCAGTTACTCCTCTTTTAAAATTCTACATTATATGGTACAACTAAGGAACAAGAATTGGTCTGATGACAGGAACTAACCCGCACATGAATCTGGATTATATGAGTTTTCTCCCAATACTCATTCTGTGTTTCAGGATCCCATTCAGGATCTCACATGACCCTAGGTTGCGGCATCTCCCCAGTCTCCTCTGCGCCGTGACAATTTCTCAGAATTTTCTTGTTCTTGATGATCCTAATAGTACTTGTGAAGAGTACTAGTCAGGTGATGTGAAGAATGTTCCTCAGTTTGGATTTACGTGATTTGTTTTTCATGATTAGACTGGCGCTATGGTTTTGGGAGGAAGATCGGAGGCGAGGTGCTGCTCTCAACACATTGTCAGGGACACTCACTACCCTCATGGGTGATCCCTAGTGATACAGCCTCACACACATGGCCAAGGTAGTTTGCTGGTTTCTTCATATTAAATTACTCCTCTCCTCTCCCTTCTTTTCATGCTCTACTTTAGGGGGAAAAAGTTACTAATTAAAGTTCATATTTAAGGGGTAGGAATGGAGGGAGTTAAGTGCCACCTACTTGAAGCAGGGAACAGGGTAGCTACAAAAATTATTTGTAATTCCTCTGTGACAGCTCTTATTTTTAACCCCCTATTCTAAGCTACCTCTCATATTTTACCCTTTTTTACCACTTTAGCATATTATTTATGTACAGTAAAAAACACAATTCTTAACTAATTTCTTGCTTTTTCTAGGGTCCAAAAATATATTAGAATTAAATCTGACCTCAAATATATTTGTTTGAAATTATTTTCCACTGGTTGCTGTAGAATTTGTCACTAAAATATAAATTAGGAACCAATGAACTTAATACATATAAGCTGCTTTTAGGACTGTGTCTGAAACATAGTAAATACCCCATATAAATGTAAGTTATTATTTTTTTTAAATTGTCTTCTTACCAGAGTGTTTCATAAATAACTTACCAGAAATATTCGTTCAAGTTGGTCCTGGATGTCTTTCATTCCTGGAAAAGCAGCAACTCCTTGGATCATTTCAACAAAGATGCAGCCAACTCCCCTAAAAAGAAAAAAAAGCATTGTTACAAAAACTTCAATACATTCTGCTTACAAAATGTGGAATTAGAATATCTCCTCTTACAGAAGAGAAACATGAATGAATAATGTTCTCAGTGAGTGCCAAGGGCTGTGCCTCATATACCTATATCCCATAACTTTCCTTTCTCCTCTGTCTCTACTGCCCAGACACAGTGGAAATCACTAAGATGATAAATGTCAGTGACTCACACAGGGAAGAGACCCCTTGGTCCAATAGAGAAAGCCCCCACTGTCTCGTTCCAATACCTGTTTCCCACCCTATTTCACAGACTCATAATGGATTGCATTCTCTGGCTGCCCAGGAGTTCTCAAACTGCTAGTTCTCTAGTGATATTAATGTGATTTATCAATCTACCTACATTTCTTTTAATCTCACTCCCAAGTGACATGCTAGAGTGGCTTTTAAAGTCATCTAGGGAACTTTTAAAAATTACTAATGACCTGAATATGAAACCCAGAAATTCTGTTTTAATCAGTCTAGACTGGGCTCAAGGCAACTAGACTAAGAATCAATTCAGCCAGACTACCTTACCCAAAAGCCATGAGTAAAGTATAAAAACCTGATTCAACCTGTTCCATTATCTAGAATTTTATCCTTCATCTACTTGCTCTTATGTGTAAATCTAACCCAACCTCTACATTTAATTTAAATGCCATCTCCTACACAAAGTCTTCCACAAACAATCCAGCAGACAGGCTAGTGCTATTTTATGATTCAATTCCTTCTCCCAGCTTAGACTTTTATGCTTACGGTCCCTAAGAAGATAGTCCAGCATCTCAGGTAGTTAGAAGATAGTCCAGCATACTAACGTGGTCTGTACCTAGTTCAACAGGAGCAACAAATGCATAGTGTGAACAGAGAGCCAAACAATTATCTCTCTTGTGTCTGGAGAACATGTCACTTGGGAGTTAGATTAAAAGAAATGTAGGTAGATTGATAAATCACATTAATGTCACTAGAGAACTGGCAAGAATGACCAGCTTTCTGCAGATGAAATTCCCTGAGTGGACCTGGTTCCTACTTTCCAGGGACTGAATGTTGAGCTAAACCAGAATTTTTTCTGGATCTCTACCTTCTAGCAATTCTCCCAGAAGTTTTTTTTTTTTTTTCCCCTTAAATGACTCTACGTTGAGTGGACTATATTTTCTGAAAGTATCCTAGTAAAGTCACGAACACACTGGAATACTTCATCAATTACTGCACTCATATTCAATTTGGGATGAACAAACACATGTGTCGTTAACTTATTTCAACCCATCTGAGGTGAAGGACAAGGAACTACCATTCTTTGGCTACGCCAATTGCAATCACTGTTTTGTACGTGAACATTGCTTTGGATGAAAGAAGTAATAAATTGACAGAAATCTCTTTTTTTATTTTACCACATAATTCCTACCAAAGTTAAACACCAATGGCATATAGAGTTAAAATGACCAAAAACAAATGCTCCTCTATAAAATAAAAAATAATTCCATTTATGTAATAAAAATTAATTTCAAATCTGCATTCAAATCTATCTAGGCAGATAGGTTTAACACAAATCGTTTTCATTTAGCAGAAATATAGGTGTTGAGAATTATTTTAGTGGCATATTAAAACGCAGTGTGCATTTAAATAATGGAGTTTCAGATGTCTGGTTAGGTCTAAAATTTCTGTTTTATCATTTTCCAAATTTTTCTGCCAAGGATTCTTTTCTAAGACTACTTCCTACATTTGTATTATCTTCTTAAGTTTGCATAAAATATCTTGAATCTTAAATAGCCACCTGCATTTTTTTTTAACATTCACCCCATATGCTCTATTCATGACATTTTGGCCTCAGTCTTTCCCACCATAAAGAGCAACTCTGAGGTTGAAAACCCTCAGCAGAACCAGGCTGGTGAGGTCACTATTGCTCTGTCACTCTGACTTACAGAAATTCTTTTATCACTACTTGTGTGTGGTCTGTGTCATCTCCACAACATAATGCTTAGAACAGTTTAAAGTTTTTTTTTAAAGATTTATTTATTTTTATACAAGAGCTGGGGTACAGGCCAGAGGCACGGGAGGGTGAGAGGATTCACCAGAGATAGAGCAGGGAGCAGAACAGGCAGACTGACGGAAATACACTGCTGAGGGGAGCAACAGGCACGACATGAGAGGTCTGCCACGCCATGTGGGAATCTTCCTGGCTGGCCGGGAATCGAACCTGCTCTGCAGAGGCTGCAGACACTTTCACAGCGCTGCACTCAACCCGCTGCACCACTGGGGAAGCCCTGCTTAGAACAGTTTAAAGATAAATCTCTGCTGTGACTCTTCTCAGTAGGAATATGATGATGCAGCAATTCAACAGGCTCTTATTTGCTTAGCTGGCTAAGGGATATAGACTTTCATTGCTAATGGATGTTTCCAGTGACATCAGTCTTCAAAGATACTTGAGGGTATACTCGTTTATAAAGCCAAGAGAATTATACTTAAAAGAGATATAAAAAGAGAGAGGACACACAAGGAAATCAAAAAGTAGAATTACAAAACATATCAACATAGCAGAATACTTTATTATAGGAGCTCCCTTTGTGCCAAGCAGCAATAACAGCTCTTCAATTTTATATGACGGGTCTATTATGCCTGTTTCTGTTTTCTTTTTTCATTTTTATCCCCCTTGCATCCTCCACTAGCCCTGTGCGTTCTCTTTTGTGAAGGATTAAGTTAATTGCTCTGATTGGGTCACTGAGAAAGAATTCACCCACTTAAGCTTATACTTATGATATATAATCTTATTTTAAGAAACATCTCCCTTGATTTGTTGTTTCTTCTGGGGATTTAAATAACCATATAATTATCAACCACTTAGTCTAAATATTTCAAGAATAAGAACTGGTCACATAAGCTTATAATTAAATGTGTGATAGAAAACAATATGTTTAAACTTTTACTCCAGGATTAGTTACTTGGGAAGGTAGTATAAAACACCCATGCTCCCATTTCTTTCCATTTTTTGAACTTAAAGTTTTCAAACTGAATTTATGCCATCGATGTGTAAATAATTTTCCATCACAATTCAAACCAAGATTTTAAGTGGAATGGACAATTCTTTGTCATCATGAGCACTCTTTCTTAGTACATATTTAATTTGAGCACATTATGAGGACTTTGTCACTATAAGACAATTACTCTGTTATCTTTGAAAGATTTGCCTAAATTTAAAACCACCCTAAATTTAGTGTTTATTGTTTATTTTTATTTTTTTTAAAGATTTATTTATTCATTTATGCATAGAAGAACTGGGGTGTAGGCTAGAGGTGCAGGGGGTGAGAGTAAAGTATAAAAACCTGATTCAACCTGTTCCATTATCTAGAACTTTATCCTTTATCTACTTGCTCTTATGTGTAAATCTAAGAGACAGAATGGGGAGCAGAACAGGCAGATCTACTGAAATACACTGCTGAGGGGAGCAGTGGACAAGACAGGAGAGGTCTGCCTTGCCATGTGGGTTAGCTCCCTGGCCAGGGATCGAAATCAGGCCACAGCAGTGATAGTATGACAGCACTGAGACTTAACCCCTATGATACCAGGGAGGCCCCTAAATATTTATTTTTCAAAAGGGCAAAATGAAAGAGCACCACATCTCCTTAGGGCTGTTACACAGAAATGGTCATTTCAAGTAGATGAGTCATGGCAATTTGATGAACATTTTTGTGGAATTGGCATGAGCAAGGTGGAGCTGCAGGCTCAGAATGTGGAAAGTCAGTGCTAAGGTTCTACTTAAATAACTTGGGCAGCTAATTAAAGATTAATTAAGTTTGACATGAAGGTATTTAAAAAGTGATATGACATACTTTATGGCAAAGGAATTCAAGATAAAAGAATTATCTAAACTACTAAATTTGGGGTAATGGTGGGAGGGAGTGTGGAATGCAGAGAAAAAGAGGAATTTGCAGGGAAGACGCAAGAACTTTTCTCCAGCAGATTAGGGATCAGCAAACTCAATGTCACTTCCTTGGGAAGGCCTCCCAATCTCTCAGCTGGGTTAGGTCTCTGATTCTATACATATGTTACATCCTATGACAGTGATTTACTTACTTGTAAATGTATTAACCATGATCACCTTTTTGAGAATGAGAATTTGTTCTTTTAGTTTTAAAAATATCATCCAAATTAGTCAAAAAGATAATGACAGTATGTCAACCCTCCCAGAACTGTATGAAATAGGGCTGGGTCACAAAAATCACAGCTAATATGCGCTGTAATGTATCTGTTGGTTAAAGTCTTGTTGAGATTTTATGGTGCAGGATAACTATATATTTCAACTAAAATAGGGATTGATTAGGCCCATTAATTTCCATATTCAAAGAATATCTGTATTCTAACAAATGATTTTTGAAGGGAAATGCACTCAGTCAATTTTCTCATAAAGACATTAATACCACAAGCTCTTAATTTACCCAGTAAATGATTATCCTACATGAATAACTCTAAAATGGGACCTAGAAGTTATTTATATACTTGACATTAATCTAATTTTAGCCATCAAAAATAAAAAATTATTCTCCTTCCTCCCTAATTCTCAGAGCGGTTCGTAAGGCGATGGTTTGGTTCAGTCTCAGTAGATAATATGGAAAGACTGTAATATTTTTAAATACGGTCCAATTAAAATCTCAGAAACTTCTAGAATCTAGTCTCTAATTTCATCCATTTATTAGCTAAGACTTGAGAGTCCTTTCGATAAATAGCTGTAAGCAGAGATTGATAGCATAGAATCCAGGGCGATCATAACACAGTGCAGCCTGTGTACTGAGTACATGCAGAGATGACAATGAGTTAACAGCTATGACTAGTGCCATGAGAGAAGCCTGCATCTTCTCATGCAGCCTTCCCGAATGGGAAGTTATGAGGTCTCTACTAAAGTTTAGAGAATTATTTAGACCCACTCAGAGCAATACGCATCATTAAAATTTTAGGAGAGGGTTGTAGATAAAGAC